GGATTGACCACAAATTCTCAATGGGGTTAAGGTCTGGGGAGTTTCCTGGCCATGGACCCAAAATTTGGATGTTTTGTCCCCCGAGCCACTTAGTTATCACTTTTGCCTTATGGCAAGGTGCTCCATCATGCTGGAAAAGGCATTGTTCATCACCAAACTGTTCTTGGATGGTTGGGAGAAGTTGCTCTCGGAGGATGTTTTTGTACCATTGTTTATTCATGGCTGTGTTCTTAGGCAAAATTGTGAGTGAGGCAGTGAGCCCACTCCCTTGGCTGAGAAGCAACCCCACACATGAATGGTCTCAGGATGCTTTACTGTTTGCATGACACAGGACTGATTGTAGTGCTCACCTTTTCTTCTCCAGACAAGCTTTATTCCGGTTGCCCCAAACAATCAGAAAGGGGATTCATCAGAGAAAATGACTTTACCCCAGTCCTCAGCAGTCCAATCCCTGTACCTTATGGAGAATATCAGTCTGTCCCTGATGTTTTTCCTGGAGAGAAGTGGGCTCTTTGATGCCACCGATACTTTTAAAACGGTTCCAGTGCCTAAACCGGAACCGGTAAAGCTCATTCTGATTCTGATAAACGGTGCCTGAACCGATACTTATTAAAAAATAAATAAATAAAAAATCCCCCCCAAAAATGATGGATTGGCCATTAGATGTAATTTATTTCATAAATATTTCAAACCTTTAACCCACTTGGGAAACTCAACCCATGGCAACAGTTTAAAAGTAGCCCAATTCTGTGGAAAAAACGCGGACTTGGCAACCCTGCATCCAACAAGAGCTACCGGAGTCAGCTTTGACTGATCACAGGTCGAGAATAAGGAGTGATGACTGACAAGACCATGCTGGAGTATTTGCTGCTCATAAGATTCTGCGCTCATTGACAAATATCTGATCTTGTAAGATGTGCTTGCTCCCTTTACACAGAGTGCGTGTGATCACGAAATCGAAAGTGAAAGAAAACAGCGCAAACGCTCATTCAAAAATATTTAAATGCATCGCATCCTGAAAGCGGCTCCCTGATGCGCCAAAATTATATACAATATCAGAATGTTTAAAGGAGTGGACACGAAAATCGCGGGAGCAGGCGGCAATAGTCAGAGATTCAGCGGGAGTGGGATTAAGAAAACAGCCGAATCCCGGACATTTTGGGCAATTAAGAAATCCCTCGCGTTACTACAAAGATGTGTTGGATTTGTATTATTAGAGCTTTCCAACTTGAGTTCACATGCATTTTCTCAGTCGGGACATCATTTTTCACGTGTGGTGCTGCGATGATGTTTCTTGCGTCCGTTTCGGAGAACCAGAGGACAAATATTTCAATCGATCGCTCATCCCTGATGTTTTTCCTGGAGAGAAATGGGTTCTTTGCTGCCCTTCTTGACACCAGGCCGTTGTCCAAAAGTCTTCGCCTCACTGCTAAGTTTACATGCAACCAAATAATCCATTTGTAATCAGATTGATGGCTCAGTCGGACTGAAAAGCCTTCATGTAAACACCTTAATCGATCCGATTGAGCTCGATCGGAATGAAATTTCGATCGGATTGAAGGGGGTGGTTTATTCCTTTTCTAATACGATTGAGAGTGCATGTAAACACTTGATCGGATTGAACCCCGAAACTGAAAGGACTGCGCATGTGCAATGACGCAGAAATAGCGTAATGATGTATGACGCGTGGAACGAAAAACAAATTTCTTCCTTTTGAATAAAGGAATTAAGTGTTGTATAAATGCGTGGTCCTGTCATTATAAAACTCTCCTTTCATTTGGCAACTGTGAAGTGGAGCAGGACAACCTCCCTCCAGTCCTTGTTTTGGATACTCATCCACAGGCAACCCGTTTTGGGCATGGGGAGAGGGGCATTTTTACTGCGTGATAAATATGAGCAGCATGGCACAGCGGTTTATATTTATATTTATCCATAAATGGATAAATATTAATTCTGCTGTTAAAAAGAAATAAAGAAACCGTGTAGGAGAGTGGTTATTATGTGCAAACAGTGAGAAACTCTATATTTGTGCAGTGTGCGCATGTCAAAAAAAGTCAATTCCGATTTGAAGCTTGTGACATATAAACGCGCACGTCATCAACCCGATCACTTTATTTAGCGTTCATGTAAACACTACATTCAGATTCATGAATCGGAATGAATTCAGTCCGATTGAACCAAATATTGTGCATGTAAACGTAGCCAATGTGCGTGCAGAGGCACTCACACCTGCCTGCTGCCATTCTTGAGCAAGCTCTACACTGTTGGTGCCCGATCCCGTAGCTGAATCAACTTTAGGAGACGGTCCTGGCGCTTGCTGGACTTTCTTGGGAGCCCTGAAGCCTTCTTCACAGCAATTGAACCTCTCCCCTTGAAGTTCTCGATGATGTGATAAATGATTGATTTAGGTACAATCTTACTAGCAGCATTATCCTTGCCTGTGAATCCCTTTTTGTGCAAAGCAATGATAACTGCACATGTTTCCTTGCAGGTAACCATGATAGTAACAGAGGAAGAACAATGATTTCAAGCACCACCCTCCTTTTAAAGCTTCCAGTCTGTTATTTGAACTCAATCAGCATGACAGAGTGATCTCTAGCCTTGTCCTCATCAACACTCTCACCTGTGTTAATGAGAGAATCACTGACATGATGTCAGCTGGTCCTTTTGTGGCAAGGCTGAAATGCAGTGGAAATGTTTTTGGGATCAAGTTAATTTTAATGGCGAAGAGGGACTTTGCAATTAATTGCAATTCATCTGATTGCTCTTCATAACATTCTGGAGTATATGCAAATTGCCATCATAAAAACTGAGGCAGCAGACATTGTGAAAATTAATTTTTGTGATTTATTCACCTGACGTGTCCCATAGCCACCCCCTTTGTGCTATTACCATTGTCTTTCTTCCCATCAGGCTTTTGTTTGGTATCCTGTTGGCCTGTACTCTCACTCTGTGGGCAAATACAACCAACAATCTGGTAGGGTAGTGGTCAAAGCTTTTGTGAGCAGTGAGCACCCCATAGTACAAGAGCAGCGCTGATATTTAATCAAGAGTGATCTGGGCTTTACTGTACTGCAGGATTATCTGCATAACCAAGGTTTATGGCCAGTTAGAAACCCATTCTTTTTAATATCTTGATTCTGGCTGTGAAATCTAGCCTGATATTTGTGTACGTCTATTATAGGGTTTGGCGCACTCTTCCCAGCTGTGTATTTAATTAAAACATTCCTGTGTGAAGAGTGTGAACGAGAGGAGCTGCTGGCCACTGAAAGCTCCGTTCTCGAGACGGAGTGACTGCGAGTTGCCAAGAACTGTTGGGTTCAAGCAATCCGTTGTTTGAGTACAATTAAGACCAATTAAAATAACCCGATTTCCCAGAAAGCATTTGCAACAGATTTTTGTTGCTAACCCCATCCTCTCTGGTTGTTTTCCCAATGTAAGAATGGCCAGCGAAGCAGGTGGTGTCAGCTAGAAGCTACTTTCTCCTCTCCAAATTGTTGGACATGTTTTGTAAGCTGTTTAATGCTTAGAATGGCTCTTGTAAAACATTGATTGACCAACTGGATGTGTTGAATGGTGTGTGCCATCTAGTGGCATTTCGCATAATAGCACCATTTGCACTTCTGCTGACAAGTGAGCCTTACATTAGGACTCTCTAACTAAAACGACGCTGTTCTCTCCTCTCAAGTGTTTCCAATTAGCAAACTTAAGAGTTAACTTGGGCCTGAGTAGTTGTGTAATGTGTTGACCTGTTCGACTGCAATTTATGTCACTCTTTATGCAGGAGCTGGGGGCTGCATTAATACTGCTGTTGTGGGGGTTTGGGAATTTTCTCTAATGAATATAGCTTTATTTTGATAAAGAATTTAATAAAGTTATGTTGCCCTGAAGGTGTGTCGTTAAATCATAATGCAATATTTGGCCTGGTTGAGTGCCTGATGTGTTGTCGAGCTGCAATATTAATGACCAGCCCTGGAGTCAAAACGCAATTATGCAAAGTTGTTAAATGGTTTTTAATTAGATTTTAAGATTTTAATTACTTTCAATAACAAATGCACATCTTGTGTTATACAGGGCCTTACACTATGAAGCCACTTCAGGCTGTTGGATCTGTAATACAATAATCCCAATTCAGTCATTATTATTTTAACAATATCTTTCCATAAAAGTCTTTGCTGGCAAGTCTGGTTTGGGCATAGTACGGACCTCTTTATGACCATTTTAAAGCATTAAACGTTCTTTGTTATTAAAGGTTTGTGTATCATTATAGATGATTCACTCCCATGACACACCTCCATTCATATCAAACCTCCCCTTCCATCCCAACTGTTGCAAAAAGCAGTGTGCAGCCTGCAGCCCTGGGGCAGCGCTATAATGGCTGGGTAAGCGCAGGACCGGGGGGCTGAGAGATTAACCATAGAGTGAGGAAACCTGCGGGAAGTTCTGCATTATGGCAGCTCCTCCACGGTGCTCTGCTCGTTAACACTCATCCCGCTCCGCACGGCATATGGAGACCCATCTCTTCCCCTGCGTGCTCCATCTCATAAATGAGATGGAGCTACAATACAGCTATACATAATACAGCTCTTTCTGCTGTAGCCAAAAAGATAAAGCACATCTGTTAGGAAGTGAATGAAGGAAGAGAGGAGAAGTGGTGTTTTTTAAATTGTGTTTGAGGTCAATACAGTCAGACTGATCAGGTTTAAAGATGTATCTAATGGGTTGCTTCATGAAGAGCAGAATTCACAGTGAGATTCAGCAGACCCCGCTGGATAGACCTGCATGTGTTGGGTTTTGGATTCTGCTATCCAGCATGGGATTGCCTTTGTATTTGTGTCACTATAAGGTTGATTGATGAGATCAGCCAGCAAGACTACTTTGGTCCACCATCTTTACGTGGCCTAATGGTTAGAGAGTCGGACTCGTAACCCAAAGGTTGCGGGTTCGAGTCTCGTACCGGCAGGGATTGTAGGTGGGGGGAGTGAATGTACAGCGCTCTCTCCCACCTTCAATACCACGACTGAGGTGCCCTTGAGCAAGGCACCGAACCCCCAACTGTTCCCCGGGCGCCGCAGCATAAATGGCTGCCCACTGCTCCGGGTGTGTGTTCACGGTGTGTGTGTGTGTTCACTGCTGTGTGTGTGCACTTTGGATGGGTTAAATGCAGAGCACTAATTCCAAGTATTGGTCACCATACTTGGCCACGTCACGTCACTCACTTCACTTTACCAGAAAGTCACTTTTTCTCTTGTTTCACAGACATCTCTGTACTAGTGTTCATGCTTTTTTGAGCAGTTCTAGAACTTTGATTTGCAGCAATTTTCATGTATGAAATTCTGTTGTGGTAGTGATTCATTTGTAAGTTGCATTGATTAAAGGTGTCTACTAAATATAAATGATTAAATTAGCAGTTGAGTTCACCACCCAAAAATATGTCATTCCAAAATTGGCATGATTTTCTTTCTTCTGTGAAACAAAGCCAATATTTAGAAAAGTTTTGTAGTGTTTTTTTCACCTCTGTCCATACAATGAAAGTCCATGGGGTCCAATGTTTAAACCCCAACATTCTTAAAAAATATCATCTTTTGTTTCTGCAGAAGAAAAAGTCACAGGTTTAAACACACAAACACACACACAAACACACATACATGACTGGTCAACAATCTTTTGAAAGCTTTCCCAGATCCCCTGATTTTAATCACCTATTGTGCCTTCTTTAGTTCAGTTTAATGGTTCTGTGGTGTGGCAAATGTTTTTTTTTATAGTAATATATTTTTTTATAAGTAATATAATTTTATAAGAATTTCATGTAGTCTTTTAGATAATATCTGGATATTAAAGCTGTATTCATAGGGATTATAGAGTAATTAGCATTCGAATTTTGCTAGTGAACAGTATGAATATATTCTGGTTAATCTGGTTGGCCAAAGGGGTTTTAGGTTGGAAAACCTTTTCAGTAGGGTTCACTAGCTATATGTTTAGCCTATCAGCATCTTAATAATTAATCTCATTGTTTATTCAGAATTAATGTCTTTTTTAATGACATAAATTTAAGTTTACTTTTTTAAAATTGATTTTATATTTTATATGTATATTTTTTATAATACATTTTACAGGTTTTTTATTAGATTTCAGAGTTTAGGGTAAATGCAAACTTTATTTTGGAATCTGCAGTCATATTAAATGTAATTTGGAATAACTGAAATGTATATGTAAACGAAGTCAGACTGGAATGAACACATGGAGCTCAAAGGAGACAGACTAGGACCAAAGATCCTTGGCAAACTTTTGCTGTTTCCGTAATAAATTTCCTCAGAGTGGTCTGTCTCGCTCTCCTCTTCCTGTGGTGTCTCTGCTGTGATACTGGGTAGAACGTGTCTGTTTATAGTTAGCCTTGGTCATCAGAGCTTAATTTCTGTTTTTGTAAGGCCAGTTGGTGTGAAGTGATATGTTTAAAGAATTTATCTTCATTAGTCCTGATGTCATATAAACAAAGATTTGTTTATGTTGTAAATGAATAGACTCCACTCTACATGTAACAGAGATTAGTTTATGTCTGTTTAAATGATAGATGATTTGTACTAGCAATGGGTTCAGCTTTCTCTGCTGCAGCTGGTCGTTTGCTTATGATCTGATTTTTATTTATTTATTTGTTTGTTTGCTGAATAAATCTGTCATTTATTGCATGTGGTTGTGGGTTCTCCCATGCACAAAGGCATAGCAGTGTTTCCATTGGGCCTCATTTCTATGTTGTCCCTTCCCTTCAACAGAACATACACATAAAAACATTGGCTGATGACATGGTAAGGTGTCTGTTTCTTTTATTTTGTGTGTCTTTCTTTATCTTTTTCTCATCTTCGCCACGACTCTCAGAGCATTGTTAAAGTGAAGTGATTGACAAAGAGAGATCAAAGACAAAACATTTTTTTAAATCACCCTGTCATCGGGTCCGTCATAATCTATCAGTCTAAAGTTCACTCTGGGTCAGCAAGCTGGAGTTCAAGCAGACACATGGCAACTTGATGCAATCGTTCATGATAAGTTGCCAGACCTTGTCTTCATTTTGACTTTGGGCTCTCCTTGAACACTTGCATTTTACAACAGAGTGTGTTTTGATTCTTTTAATTCATTTATTTCGAATTCATCCATATATGCATGTTCCCTTTGTTTTCACTGACAGACTAACAGTGACTACTAGTGCATGGTCTGTTTTCACTCTCTCTGATCCAGTAACCCATGACTGGAATGCTGGCAGAAGTCACTCACATCTCTTTCTAATTAGAAACCTTAAACACTCATAGTCACATCTTGCTGTCTAATATAGTGCAGAATGCTGTCTGTGATATTGTTTCTGTATTCATTATGACTGTAAAGTGAATATTAATAAGTGGAAAGATGACACAGGTAATATCCCCTCATGCTTTTAAAAGTACAGCTTGGAAAGGTAAAGTAACAAGGGAGCAGGTAAGTCAAATATCAAGCTATGAACTTTAAACCAGATTTTAAAACTTTATGATAAGTAACCAAACTGTTTTGTATTAACTTAAAAAGACCCCTGTGAAATTGTAAGGGGAGTTTTGCGGTTTTTAGTCCATGCGTATTCTCTTTAAGGCCATTTATATGCTCGTATACTCTTGAATGTTGAAAATTTACACTACTGTTAAAAAATAAATGGTTTTGGGAAGATTTTTTAAAAACGTTTTTGACAGTTTATGTTAGGCAAGGTTGCAATTATTTGATCAAAAATACAATAAAACAGTAATATTATGAAATATTATTACAATTTAAAATGACCTCCTATTTTAATACATTTTAAAATGTAATTTATTCCTGTGATGCCAAGCTGAATTTTCATCCTTCAGAAATCATTCTAATATGCTGATTTGTTGCTCAAGAAACATTTCTTATTATTATCAATGTTGAAAACAGTTGTGCTGCTTAATATTTTTGTGTGATGAATGAAATGTAAAAGAACAGCATTTGCAACAATTAAAATTTTGACTGTCACTTTTGATCAATTTAATGCATCCTTTCTGAATAAAATGATTATTTTTTGACTCATGTTGCAGTTCACATTTTTGTCTAATCAAATGAGAATGTCCTTTCCCCTGCAAAAAATGGACAAACCCTTTAATATGCCTCTCCTAAACATCCTGTCTTAGTAAGAAATACATAAACAGAGGTATTTCACAGGGTCATAAATGTTAAACAGCTTTTTTTCCTTGCAGAGTATTAGCATTTCCACTGTCAGATATATGTGCTGTTTATATGTTCTGACATATGCACCAGTTATTTACTTCACTTTAACTGAACTGTCTTTCCAGCGTGACAGAATCACCAGTTTTCGAAAGCAAGGCATGAAAAAGGAGAAGCCTCTTATCCAGCACCCCACAGACCCTATCTCCAACCAGACTGAGCTGCCTGTGCCCCAGCCGCTCTTCGACGAGCGCTCCATGAACCTGTCGGAGAAAGAGATCATGGACTTGTTTGAGAAGATGATGGTAAGTTTGTTTTCACACCCTGGGATCTGCACTGTGCTCCAGGCACTGTATGACCTCAGACGCCCTTTTTCACTGATACATATCAAAGCATGAAGCTCATGTTAAGGATGTCAATTAGGCCATCAGAACCAGACTTCTCTGGGACTTTTCTCCTCTTGCACACAGAGTTTAGCAAGGATTTCGCTTAAGTTATTTAAAAAGGTTAGTTACCTTTTTATTTAATAAAGTGTGCTAAATTGTACTCCGCAATTTTGTAGTAGGCTATTTTTTGTTTTAGTCAGTTGTATAATGGTCTGTTTCATACCTGGGATTGAAACCAAAGATCTGTGGTGACCCATCGCAGCCATTTGTTTCCTGATGTTTCTGTAACGAAGTCACGTTTCTGATGCATAGATCGTCAAAGACACTTTATCTTTCCGCATCTCTCTTCTGCTGTCAATCACGAGAGGAGAATGGGACTTGAGAGCTCTGCGCTCTCCACCGACAGGTTACATTAACTGAGCGTTGGCTAGACTTGTCACTTGTTCGTTTTCCCCTCTGGGAGAGAATATACATTAGCTACCAAGCTTTTATATGCATGACTCTTCTCGCTAATTCTGTCATTAAGTGTGATATGTTGACAGCTGTCAATAGAGCATCCGCCACATCGGATAGAACAAGCTACTGTTACGGATGGGGAGAAGCAGCGTATGATTGTCTAAACAGTTTTATTTTACTTGCAGTTAGAGCTGAATGCAGTCTTTACCCTACCTGTGAAGTTCCCACTCTGTTTATCTGTACATAGACACACACACTCCCTTCAATCCCCAAGAAACCAAAACCGACAGGGCTGCTGCATACACTGGCCTCAATTGAACTCACGGTTGTTTTGGCCTAGACAAGTTAAATAACAAAATCTGGCTGCAGAACAATGGAAGGATTATTTCCAAGACAAGAAAAGTGTTTGCTTTGTATTAGTTTTTTTGGGTCAGAGCTCTCCCCAACCTGTGTCTGTCACAGCAGAGTCTGTCTGTGATGCTTTTTTTTATTTTTTGACCGTTTCTGTGGATTTGTTGTCTGTAGATCTGAAACTCTGCCAATTTCGCAGCACCTGAGCAGAACTGATCTTCAGTGGCCATTTTATGTACTCTAAACTGCCTTCCAGGCTCCACAGTGAGTTGTACACCTCATTAGGCTGATAGCATACACATTGATAATTGACCTGTACTTGCGTCAAAGGGCGAAAGATTACTGGACTCCCCACCAGCAAAATTCTTTGACAGATTTTTCAAAAGAGGCAGCATTTATGTGGGGAAATGGACTGCTTACCATCTGTGTGGTGAACAATAGCTCTGTTTTGTTCTGTGTGGTGCTTGCAATGGCATTCTATTGATATTTGTTATTTTATTGATGTTTTTTAATCTGAATAAAAAAAAGAGACAAATTAAAATTAAATTACAGATGCTTGATATAATATGGTTTGAAGGGCAATTCGATTTTTGTTTATATCAAAGCCATTTAATAAAAGTGAACGTAACAAAAAATAACATGCATGAATTACATTACCTTCAAAGGTTTGTGGTAAGATTTAAAAAAATAAATAAAAATGTGAAAAGTTATGCTCAACAAGGCCGCATTTATTAGATTAAAATACAATGAAACCGTGATATTCTGAAATATTATTACAATTTAAAATGACTCTTCTAAATTAAAATAAATTTTAAAATGCAGTTTATTATTGTTATAGCAAAACCAGTCAGCGGCCATTACTCCAGTCTTCAGTCAGTGTCACATGATCCTTCAGAAATCATTCTTGTTTTTGAACAAAAAAGAATAATTCTTGTCTTGTTATTGTTTTCAATGTTGAAAATGGTTGTGCTGCTTAATTTATTAAAAAAAAAAATGTTGTGGAAGGCATATTCCTTTTTTCCTTCACTAATAGAAAGATTAAAAGAATAACATTCATTTGAAAAAAAAAATACATATATATA